AAATTGCAACTGGCATATTTCACAGAGAATTATCATCAATGCCTTTTCAAGGTCAAACATGCCCCATCCTTAGATTTTCAGCACTTATATTCTATATGTTAAATCATAATATATACTTAAGAAGGCATTCAGTAGATGTGTGAAATAATTTTAATTAATTTGACTATGTTCATTAATGCCCTGTTGAATATTCTCTACTTGACATAACCTATAAGTTAAAAAATATGAAAATATGTGTTAAATTTAGATGTGGCTATTCTGCATTGATCACCATCCCTGGAATCCCCAAATTCCTGTGAGACTAGAATCTTGCTATGGACTTTCCCAAAATATTAAAAATAAATTTCTTATTAGAAAAGTTGAAGAGACCCCAAAAATGGATTTTGAGGGGACAATAAAAGATTGTTATTGTTTTTAAATTGTCAGGACCCCAGGATCCTCGTCACCACATGAACCAAATAAAATTGAATTTGGACATTATCATGAATGTTAAGACTGGATCATTTGATGAAATATCCACAGCTAGCCTTGTTACAGAGTAACAAGGGAACCTTGGTCCCTTCCTCCTATCCAATCATTACTCGTTTGGCTTCTTTCATTTTTCTTTCTCCAACCCCGTCCCTCAACAATATCCAGACACCACCTATGTCCTCGTTCACTGCACATGGGCCCTGCTTTTGGAAAAGAAGAACACCTGGGAAGTCTCAACAATTTAAGAGGCTTTACAAGTATCCTGTTTCTTCCAAAGATAATTACGCTTTAAATTAAAATTACAGAAAAATATTTTGGTGAGGGAGAGAGTAGGGAAAAATGGAAAGAATTATAGACAGCAAGACATATACTACATTTTTCAAATCCCAGCTCATGTAGAAACTATGGGCACAATAATAAAATGGTGTTTGGGATATGATTGACCCCTCCCAGGTTGAGATACACCCCACACCTGACCATCTCCTATAGGTGCACTTGGTCATGTTTACTGTGACCATCCGAGTCTCTACCTGTGGTTATCTTCAAGATAAGGCTTGGTTGTCACTGACGGGAGCAATTCCTCTGTGCCCTGCCCCGTCAGCCCAGGCATGGGACCGGCTTCCACCCTGGTTACCTTCCCAGAACACTATTTTCCTATAGAGCTTGTCCTAAGCCCCAGGCCCCGGATTTTCTTCCCATTCTGCAGATCAAACTGTACTTAAGTTTTTGGAGGAACAGAAAGAATAGATTTTTGCCCTTCTGTCTCTTTTTCTACTAGTTATTCTCACTTGATTTGGTTTTTCCACAAATGTTACCTCCATAGTTTGGCTCCTGATTTAAATTTATGTGATTGACTTTAGAGAACCAGGTTTGGGGTGTTTTTCTGCAGGTTTCTAGCCCTTCATTCATTCATCGTTCATTCGTCTGGATACTGCAGCACCTCTTCTCTTACAGTGGCTGAGCAGTCCGTGCTCCATCTAAGACGTCTTGGATCCTTCCCTTTTCACCTACTCAGAAACATTCTCATGGTAATTTTCCTTCCCTCTCCTACGTCATTAATATTTCTCTTTCACACTAGCATTTTAAATACACTAGTTTTCTGCCTTCTTAAATGTACAAAATTTTTAAAATTTTTTTAATTTTTAAAAACCACCTTTGATCCCACTTGCCCCACTAACCACTCTATATATTTATTTTTTTATAACCTTGAAAGCCCTCAAAATAATTCTCTATATTCTGCTTCAATTTCTTTTTACCTATTCTCTCATGAACATAATGCCATTGGATTTTGTCCCTAGCCTTCCAATGAAACTGTTCTTATCAATAACACCAGTGCAGCAAAAAGCAATGGCCACTTCTCAGGCTTCAATGTTTTTGATCTATCACCAAAATCTTTCTCTCTTTCTTTAATCCCTTCTGACACTTCTCTCAGAGGCATCATTCTTCTTTGAGGTTTTTTTCCTCTGTCAACAGCTATTCTTACTGGATATTTTTACTGTTCCTACCATGTGAGCAATTAGATGCCCCAGGATACAGTCCTGGGTTCTTTTATCATCTCTATCTAAATTTAAGACCTAGTTAAAACCTCATCTAGGCTTATTACTGTAAAATATATCAAATTTGACTCTCACATTTACACTTTCAGGTTTGACCTTTACTGTAAGTCCCAGATTCTTTGTCCACCTGCCTATCCAGCATCTCCACTTGGGTATTTAAGAAGCTTCACAAAAGTGGCATACCAAAACTAAGCTCACATTCCTCCACCATTTACCCTAAACTTGCTATGTCTTTACCATTTCACTGAATAAAAACATTCTTTTCGTTCAGGCAGAAACAAAATAAAATAGAAAACAACAACCACAGAATAAACTTAAGAGCCACATCTGATTCCTTTCTCTTATTCAGCTCCTACCGGTCATCAATCAGAAAATTCAGATAGTGCCTGTAATTTGATTATTTTACACCATATTTATTGCTACCAACCTAGTCCAAACCACTGCTGTCTCTCACCAATTAGAACAAAACATGAGGGGCAATTTGCTCCTGTCATTTGCTGCATTCTCATACAGGGATAGACTCACATTTCGTTTTCTGCTGAAGGAGAGAAGTGGAAGTAAATGTCTCCAGGTCATTTGGGAGTTTTACAGCTCAACGTGAACTATGTGAATTGAGAGATAAACTATCTTTATAAAGATCTGAACTATCTTTTCTTTATGCTATGTAACATAATTCTGTAAAATATTGCTTTATTAATCTAGCAAGAACTATTTCAAAGTTCACATAACTGGATTGCCTGGACCTCATTTATTATGTAATGACAGAGGTTTGCTGTGTCTCCACCTACCTAAGGTCCTGCTCCATGCCCCTTAGAATTTAGACTTCTTTGGAGTTATTGGTTATGCACCTTTGAATACTTGACAGTAAAACCACGTAAAAATTAGCCATTTTTGTTGTCTTAATATCTACGATCTTTCAACGAAAACATACTGAAGGTTGTTAATATAACATAGAAGCTAGTAGTACAATGATAAGCACACTGTATCAGTCCAGTCCTGTTGCTTATAACAGATTACCTGAAACTGAGTAATTTATAAAAATAAAATAAAATTTATTTCTTACAGTTTTGGAGGCTGGGAAGTCCAAGGTGGAGGTTTGCATTGACAGCCTTCTTGTTGGTAAAAATTCTTTACAGAGCCCCATGACAGTGTGGGGTATCACACAGAAGAGGCTGAACAAGAGAGTACTCATGTGCTCTCCTTATAAAGCCACCAGTCCACACCCATAATGACCCACTAAATCATTAACATATTAATGGGTTAATTCATTCATGAGGGTAGGGTCAACACAAGCTGATCCAATCACCTCCTAAAGGCCCCACCTGTCAACATTGCCACATTGGGAATCAAACTTCCACATGACCTGTGTAGGGGTCAAACATTCAAATCATAGCATACACTTTGGGCATTCTGTAAAATCTAATCAAATGATTCAGCACTTAACTTTATTTATATAAAATAAAAATGAATTTTAATGCCAAGTTTGGAAAACTTTAGATTTTAGAGCTGAAGTTATTTTAGAAATCGTGTAGGCCATCCTTTTTGTTTTGAATTTTAGAAAACTCAGACTCATAAAACTGAAGTAAAATGCTCACATACAAACAGAAGTTCCTCAGAAATACTTTACAGAAAGAAAAAAATGTCCTAAGAAAGGGCATTTAGCGTACCCTAGAAAGGAATCTGTGATCCAATTAACATTGGGTAGAAATAATAAAAAACATAGTCCCCAAGAACAAATTAATTTTCTTTAAATATAAATATCAACTGTGCAATTTTACAATCATTTTTACACCTAGTAATAGAATAAATTTCCAATTTAATAGTCCAAAGAAAAAAAGAGCACACTCTTAAAATATTCTTCTGCAATATTTCTTTCTAGTTTTTTGTTTGTTTGTTTGTTTGTTTTCAAAATTCTTCCTCATCTCTATCTCTCTTTCTCTATTGCTCTCTTGCTCTGTCTCATACAAAGTTATTCTTCATTAAATGATTAGGGTGATGTGACCTTACCCAGCTTCTTTAAAAGCATGAATAGTTCATCTAAAGAGAATATTTTTTTTCTTAATAATATAATGTTCACAGAGTAAGCAAAGTATTAATGCTAGATTAGATGAAAACTTCATCAATGAACCATCAAAATATCTAAAGTATTATTATTCAGTTATCCAGCTAGTTAATTTCCTGTATTCTGGATTTTTGCATTCAGTAAATGGACTCCACTGCAGAAACAGGACTCCATCAAACACAACATGTATCTACCTGTACCACTTTAACACAACACACAAAGAAAACACTAACATTTCTTTCAAAAAATCAAAAGATGTGTATCTTTCTTTTGGTGTCAGTGCCTTAGGAAAGTTAACCTCCATTTGCAAGGCAGCAATCTGTAGCTCATCAGCTTATAGCTGGTAGGTTTTTCACCATAAAAGTAATTTCATTTGAATAAACCTGGGGTACTTGGTACCAAAAAAGAGATATAATAGACATCAAATTCTGCACAGAGAGCACACACTGAGGATTCTACCTGCCTTCAGAGGCTCAGCTAGGTCTAATTATTGATGAATCTTGGTCATGATCTAGAAAGAAGATGAATTCTATTTTAAGGTAAGAACTATAAACAAAGACAATCAAAGGTGGGGATTTTCATCAAACTTTAGCTATTAAAGTGTTTGTGTCTTCCTTGATGCTTTTACCAAGAAGTTGTTGAGCATGAGGATGTTCTTTAGAGAAAACTGAATTCTTTCCCCATCCCATCTGTACCTCCATATGTACAACACACAAGTGAATAACTTTTGTTAACTGAAGTGAGGATCCTGTTAGCAGGAGGTATGGCTGAGATGCCATTTTCACATTATCTCATTGAGTCTAACTACCTGAGAGGCCCCTTCTTGACCAGGTGACAACATCACAGCCTTTAGCGCTACTCACAGATTTTGTCATGTGTGCAAAACTCAGAATGCTTGTGCTTATATTTACCGCTTGATTGCTTCTTCTTGTCTTCGGCGTTTTTCATTTTTCTCTTTCAAATAGGCCATGTTGGTTTCATTTCTCAAGCGATCATTCTCTCGGGCGATGTCTGATGCATTCTGAATAACCAAGCCATCGTATGCCTTCATGCCCATATCCTCAATATACTGGAGAAATGTGTCCAAAGGGTCTTCCTCAGGATTAGAACTCATGTTGGAGGATATCATGTGAAAAGGCACACTTCCTGGAGGGCAAGAACACATTATACCTTTATCAAGAATGGGGATAAAAGCAAGGTGCTCTTTATTTTTCCTAATATTTTGTCATCCCACATCTCCCATGATTATGGTAGAATCCATTTGGAGAAAATGTCTCGTTAGAAATTACAAACTACTAGAGTATTTGAAGTAAATATTAAACAGTGCTGCTGAGTAGCAAGTGATCCTTCAACATAGCAGCAGGAGCAGGATGAAGGCCAAAGATCTTGTATCCTGAAAGGTGATGTGAGGGTGTAAATATGGTATGCAAAGATAAACATGGGAGTTCTTTTTTTTTTTTTTTAAAAGATGGCCGGTAAGGGGATCTTAACCCTTGACTTGGTGTTGTCAGCACCACGCTCACCCAGTGAGCTAACCGGCCATCCCTATGTGGGCTCCGAACCCTTGGCCTTGGTGTTATCAGCACCGCGCTCTCCCGAGTGAGCCACAGGGCCGGCCCTAAACATGGGAGTTCTTTTTTTTTTTTTTTAAAAGATGGCCGGTAAGGGGATCTTAACCCTTGACTTGGTGTTGTCAGCACCACGCTCACCCAGTGAGCTAACCGGCCATCCCTATGTGGGCTCCGAACCCTTGGCCTTGGTGTTATCAGCACCGCACTCTCCCGAGTGAGCCACAGGGCCGGCCCTAAACATGGGAGTTCTATAGAGTCATGATTTTTTTTTCCCAATAATATGGTCTTATACCAATAAGATACATCAAATCCAAGCTTCATTTATTTCTGATTTCCACAATGAGTTTTCTGTTCAATTTCAAATAAAATGATATAATCGTTTTGGATAAAAAAAAAAAAAAACTTTTCTATTATATGTGCTTTCCTTAAAACTTTAAATTAAAATTTATGTATCTGAACTATTCATGCAAAATATAGCAGTGATCAAGGAAAGACACTTTTCTAATAAAATTGTCTAAGAAATAATCCTTATGTGACCTTCCATTATTTTCCATAATGGTCTTCTATAATGGCTTTATCCTATAACTGAGCTATCATAGATCACCAGGACCACATTAATTTTGACCAGTTGGGTAATTTAAGTAGTGACAACTGTTATATCACTGCTATATGAAGGTATGAAAAGTTGAGCAATAGAAAAGATTACTAAGAAGCCAAAATCAAATCAAAGCAAATCAACAGCAAAAAAAAAGCATAGGACTTTCAACCGGTATGTGTTACCCTCATCTGCGAAATCATGGTAATAATGCTACCTCCTAGTGATGAAAAAGTAAGAGATGTGAGGACTGAAAGGAATTTGGAATAGAGTTCGACAATAGTAAGCATATAATGCTAGCTAATATTTTCATAATAAAAGTATGGGAGAAAGATTGGCAGTAATGGTAACATTAAACAGATATATGTGGATGAATGGATGGATGGATGGATGGATGGATGGATGGATGGATGGATGGATGGATGATGAATACACAAGGAGGCTATGAAAACCAGCATGCCCTCAAAATAGAGATTTCCAAATAAATGAAGCTAGGGGTTAGGGAAATTGTGCTTTCATAAAATAACAGATAAAACCAAAGTTAAATTAATTACATGAAAAATAAGTATTTTACTCTTCTAATACAGTAAGGCTTACTATTCTCCATTGCGTATTCTCTGTGGTGTAGGAAACTGATATAATTAAGTCAGATTGAAAAATCAAAAGCAAAGACAATTAACAAAAAAAAATGGCTATTTAAAAGTTATAAATTACTTTACATTTTTTACTTTCTTCAAAAGGCTTAGAAATATATTTTGAAAATATCAGCCCAATTATTTAATGTAAAAGTCACAGACTTCATTTTTCTATTACAAATCATTTTCATTCTGATTTTTTTCCAAGCATAATCATGTTTTATAAGCTGGATAGTAGCTATAGAAATTTCACTTCCTATCCGAGTTTATTAGCATTTCAGCTGCTAATCAATCCATACTTGAAACCCATCCTGAACTTAAGGATTTCCTCCCCAGTCTAAGAAATTGTGGAAACTAAAAGGTAGATAGAGTTGCTTGTTGACTCATGGTGTTTTGTTAAGTTTTATTATGTTTTGTTTGGTTTTAAGCCTTAATGAGTTAGCAGACGAAATGGTCTTTTAATTCCAACTATGTAATGTAATTGAATTGCATTTTAATATCAGTCCATCATATTAGATGTTTAATTGGTAGACATATGGAGAAATAGAAAATTACTGCTACAAATGATTGCAATTTTGAGGGGAAATACAAGAAATTGATTCTCAGAGAGCTGAAGCATTGTCACTGTTGGGAATTCACTTCTGTTCTACCGGACTTCAGCTCTAGGTGTGCCTGGATAAGAAAAGATCAGTATAATTTTATGGCAATTAATTCTACCAAAGTTAACCAAGCCAAATCAGTATCACAAGGTTCCTAGAAGACAATGCCTCAGGGAGGAAGATGATCACTTCTACTCTGCCCTTTAGCAAAATTGTATATTTCTCCATTGTATAAGGCATTGTTACCCAAAGGCTTTTAATTTTTTCCCTTAAGTTGTTCTCCAAGCCAAATGACACAAGAAATTCCTACATAGTTTATACATTCTGAATGTTAACAAAGCTGATTGTTTACTTCTGAAAATTAATTATCTTCCTAAGAGGTTTTTCAAATTGCATAGATTTCAAATTATTTTTGTTCTGAGAAAATATTAAATAATAATACTACAAATATTTATACTATGGAAAGTTATGTTTTTTTTAATGGAGATGAAAAGTTTTGAGATGAAAATCAACCATGACATCTAGTAAATCTTCACAACAATGAAAATTGGATGACCAATTGTGCACATGCTTATATCATCTAATTCTAGAGAAGTATTTAATTCTATGACTATTTATTTATCCAAGTATTTATTGAGCACCTGGTATAATGAAGACAGAATTGTATCCCTCTGTGTCCACAATAGGATAAGAGCACAATATGTACATAATTGCAATACCGTGTGATGAGGACACTGATTCAGGTATTCCTCACTGATTTGTCATCCATGCTTTATTTTCTCTATTTTTGAGGGTGAACAAGGAATACTTTTCAATCATTATTTATAGTCTTTTAAAATAGATTTGGACCCTTTTAATATTTAAGCCTTACCCTTTCTGTTTACTTGTCTACATGCAAAAAGTAACTTGTGAGGTACAGGAGGCTGTGAAGCAGTCCTGATATGCACAGAGGACGAGTCTAGAAGTATGCCTAAAATTCCCAACTAAGGTGCCCCTAGGTATAAGACTTTGAGCTGGTTAATTAACCTCTGTAAGCTTCAGTTTCCACATTTTCTAAAAAATTGTGGTTGGAGTAGACTTATGTTCCAAGGATTCAGCTGGAAAATGCATATGTGTTCAATCAATGTCACCATAATTATTAGTCACTAACATTAATTACTATTAGATACATTTCCTAATTCTTGACTGTGCTCAAGATTATGTTTAGTAATAACCTAACTCTTGATACATATAATTTTACTTTGAAACATAGGTGAACAGAATCCTTAGAGTAGTAACCACAGTTGTGCAAATGAAGTTCATGATAGAATATAATGCATTTGCCCACCAACCAAATTCGTGTGAACAGGTCACTTATCCCTTATCCTCCATCGTCCACATCTGGGAAATGAGGGAACTGGGACATATGGACAGTGGAGCTCATCTGACCTCTTAAACCCTCATACTCCATCTTTCCAAGCCAAAGGGTGTTTCTCAGGCAACTGAGCTATGAGTGAATAGATTCATGGCCTCACTAGAAAAAAGTGAACTTTATGTAAATCATCTACCTCATTATAACTGCTACCAATTAGATGTAGTGAGAACCCACGAAAGAGTATAATCATAAATGTGTTTGTCTTTCAAAAATTTATATTTATGGCTAAGATAGATGGTGAATAAGGTATGTTCTATATCAACAAAAATTTGGCTGCATTGTAACTGTTGGATAATACATCAAATCTATTTCTGCTTCTTGAATGACAATCCTGTATACAAGTATTTTATAAAGGCTTGTCTTGAGCGCCTAATTTCTAAGTTGGCATATTGAAAGATTCTATTTGTTAAGGAGCAAACAAGCCCCTCTTCTCCAGATAGCACCTTTAGATATATCTCAACAAGTTAGAGAGTCTTCCTTATTAAACCTCTAATCAGTGCATGGGATATTTGTGACAACAGAGTGAGAGAGATTAAAGAGGAATTTTTGCTTTCTTATGAGTAGCCCTTTTAACTAAACTAGTATGTGTCTGCAGCCATTTTTGCTCAAAGCAAATTAGCTGTTTTAGCCCCAACCCCTGTCCCCACCCTCTTGGAGCATTGGTTGAAAACGGGCATCGTGGTCTTCATTCAAAAGGCAGACGTGTTTTCTTTGGAATGCACAGTATCGATTTAAGTAGTTCAAGATTGTGATTGTGATTTTGTGTGTGTGTGTGTGTGTGTGTATGTTTCTTGGAATTTGTGGTCAACAGTGAGAAATTGGTTAATGGATAAAAAAATTGATTATGCTTTGCAATGATGAACATGCTAATTATCCTGATTTAATCATCACATATTGTACATAAGTATTGATAGTCAATTCTGTACCCCACAAATATGTATAATCAATTATGTTTCAATAAAAAATAAAATAAAACAAAATTTGTGTCAGAAGTACAATGACCAAGCGAGAACCCCCATACATCCACAGGTAACTTCACGTCTTCACTATGAGCCCTTCCCGCACTGCAGTATTCTGCATTTAGGAGAGACGCCTTTTGTTTAATGTTTAGATCACTGTATCTAGAATCATGGCCATTCTATTGAAAGCAATGGATACTGGCTTAAATACAACTGGATAATTAATTGTTCAGCTTTATTTTATTCTTTAACTTTGTGACATATGTGCAGTTGACCACACCCTTCACAAAGATTATTTTGTATAATATAGTGACACTTCCCAACATTCGAAATTTCACCCAACTCAGCTAAGAAGCACCAACTTAAACTGGTGGGATTCTTACCATATTTAAAACATTCAGCATTTAACTTTTTATTGAGTTGACCATTTGCTTAGTTTCTTTTGTGCAAAACCATCACTGTACCTTATCAATACTGAACCTAGAGCTGAAAGCAACATTACATTTCTTTACAATTGTTTCGACTGGAATAATACTATCCATTACATATACACATGAGCTATGTCCAAATACAATCCATAGAAACATTTTTAAAAAGCATTATTTTTTCTTTCTGTGGCTGTTCTTTTTATTCAGGGAACTTAAGAAGCTAGGGCACTATATCATCCTTAGTTTTAAAGCTAAAAAAAAAAAGTGGTGGCGGAGATTTTTGAGAAATATGTATAAGCAAACCTATTTAAATAAGAAGATACATTTATGCGGATTATTCCCTTTGCAAATTAAGGTATCAACTGTGTGTGTTCTCAATTTACCAGAGGGTTTTTAATGTGGCACCAATTGCTGTCAAGATTGAGTTTTCTCATAGTATAGAGGGCTTTTGATTTATTACAGGCTGTTGTTGAAGAAAAGAGGTACAAAAAGAGTCAGATAAGTATTAGGCATCCAAGCTTCCTTCTCATACCAGCCTCCTTCTCCAATATGTTTAAGCAATTCTTTTTTTATTTTTTGCTTAAAATTCAGGACAAATTCCTCCATGCACATAATTTCACACATTGTGATATCAAACACTCTAGCTCCATAACAACTTGCTTAGGTGACTGTGTACACTGACTTATTGGGCAGAGCCTTCCCATGGACCACGTATCTCCCTTTACCAAGAACAGTTATGTACATCCTAGTATCATCTGAGTGAATTAGTCTACTAGCCTTCACAGGAGCTGGTTTCTTTTACTCTTCTGCAAGTGTTCACCCAGAATTTCTGAAATGGAGCTGTTCTTTATCTGAAACTTTGATTTTCCAAGATATATAGTTGTGACAACCCCATTAATATGGATATTTGTTTTATATACTGAGTGATAGAGGAAGAAAAAGCTCTGGTTTGGGAGAAAATTGCTCCCTAAAATGAGAGCACTTCAAAAAGTTCATAGAAAGATTCGTATTATCTTGCCATTCTATTTTTCTACAGACTTTTTGAAGTATCCTCATCCTTGAAGTTCCATAGGTAGCTTTCTAAAATTTAGATCACAGTTAATCTTACAAGATAATCTTATGGCTAGAATAAGATACAATTTTGGCTATTATGATAACGCTATTTGTGATAAGCAGGAAGAGCACAATATATACAGGGAAATAAATTCCCTGATGAAAGCCTAGATATTTTACCTTTACTTCACATTTATGTTTTCATTTTATTTGCAGGTAAGAAGTTTTCTAGTCTCCACCCTTTGTATATTTCTGAGGTTTTCAAACCACACCTGCAAGGAAGTTATTAGAATTTGAGTTATTAAAATTTGATTTTCCCTCCCACTCCTATCACTGCTTCTTCTCTGATAGAGAGAATCCTATTTTTCCCAGTAGTATTGATCCAATAAAAGTTTCCCAAGGCAATTTTGACTATTTGTTTTGCTGTCGTTCAGCAGGAGAAAAAGATCTTTTACATTTTTCTCATGTACTCAGACCAATTTGAAAACACATTGTGTGTGAAAATGTAAGTATTTAAACAAACAGGCTTCACATACATATGTAAAATATGTATGCAAATTAATATCTAAAATTTGCTGACTTCACGTAGGACCAAATCAACTAGATAGCTTAGCTATAACCTATAACACATGGAAACCATGTCAAAATTGTTTTTCTGATAAAATCTTACAATCTGTCAAACATTAGTCCTATAATTTCACTTCAATTATGCTTGAAATCTTACCCTCCACCCCACAAATGGTCATGCTCATTTTCTCATTCTGTGTCATCAAAATGCAGCTGTTCTGCCCAAAATGGGAAATGTTGAAGTTACAACCAAGAAAGCTCGCTAAAGTGACTACAAAGACACTGATTGCTTTTTTGTCAGAAAGCAGATCACATTGCAGTGAGTTTTTCTCTACTATCTCCTTTCCTAAAATGAGTAAAATGGGCATAAATAATGTTAACGTAGCAGAAACATGAATCAGATATTTCCCCCCAACTTCCAGGTTGTCATGGTGCTTTTTGCCCATGGTCTAAAGTGTTTGTACGTTTCCACCAATATTAGAGACTCATACAAAATACCAGTGGCTGAAGTACTTTTTGGAGCTTTGGGCCAAATGGTTCCAGATGCTTACAAGGCAGTATTTGCAAAGTACACGTAATCAGTTTAATAAATTGCTGACTAGAGCTACAATAGAACCATCTAATTGAATTAGGAATCTATGATTTATTTATTATATTTATTTTATTTTAAACAATAGCCAACCTTCTTATCTCTAGGATTTTTCACTTGTTCTGCCTCTAAACTTTACCGATGCTTCAAGTTCTTGGGCTTCTCTATAGTCCCTTGTGAAACTGTAAGATTCTTCTTAGGTTTGTTTTCACTAATTTTCTAACCTGTCAATGTCCTTCACAGAGTCCCCTTCTTTGCTGAGTTGGCTAGTATATGTTGCACTTTCCACAGAAACTAGAAAATAATTTCTGCATTTGTGTCTCACATTTTATCATTAATTTGTATAATTAACATTTGACAATATATAAAATAAATTGAAATATTGTCTAAAATGTAAAGAATTAGAAAAGGAGTTAATTTTCACTCTTGCTCTATATTCATTATTCCACACTACCTGGATGTTAAAAAGACCAAAACTACATCAGGTACTCTCTTCAATTCTGTTCCCTTATTTTTGTTACTATATTCAGGAAAAACAGTCCAGTTCTGTGGCACCAAAATAACTTTAGAATTTCCTAGTAAGAGTGAACAATATTATTTCATGTAATAGTGCTTCCAAATATGAAATGTCTACCTTTCTTGTATTTAAAATATTGCTGGGTTGTTGGAGAAATCAGAATGAACATATCTCAACAAAATAAGAACATATCCCAAGTAAAATAAGTCCACCTAAAGTTTTATAGAAAGCACTTATTGTGAGGAGACTAATAAAATCTTCCTGGTATTGAGTGGTATTGAAATATTTCTCAAAGAGGTGTATGTCTAATCAGTTAGGAAGAAACAGTTTTAGCTTTGGTGTATGTCTGATAGTTTTGAATTTTTTTTTTTTGGTAGTGTCTTTTTTTTTCTGAGAATGTGAAATTGGGCTCTCAGTGCTGACACGAATGTGCTAAGAGACTGTTGTAAAATATTTATGGTATGGAATAGTGAATAAATAGCTAGGATGCACAACTTGAATGCCAATTAAAATCCTGGAAAATATTTTCAATGCTTTTAATAATTCAACATGGCTTATTTTACTAATGAAAATATAATTTAACCATTTCCATGGTAATGTAACTAAGTGGGTAAGGGAGTAAAAATAGCCTGAGGCTCACTAAAGCCCTAGATGCCTTCGCTGGCTGTGGCTCTATTTCTGCTCCACCTAATAAGACATGCAAACTTCAGCATTAAGTACCCCTAACTAAAACCCATGCCATTTCATAACCAGATGGCTTGATCTATTTAGTGCTGGATTCAATTAGCATGCTTAGAGAATCTGAAAAATGTGATACATACCAAAATTTAAGTCCCCAGGGAGTGCTAAGTGCAATAAGCAGAAGGTGACTTGTGTCTGTCAGAGCCCTCTCTCACGGTTGATCTCAGGGCAGTTCTGTAGGAGTAATCCAGCACCATAAGAAATAGACTTGTAGTTCAGCTCAGTTTTTCTTCAATTAAAGTGCATTGTATCTGGATGGGAAAAGTGTTGATTCCCAGATTCTTCATCACTGGATATCAGAGCATTCTTGATGTTCTTCCTATCAGGTAAAATGGCCTTTAAAGTTTGCTAGGAAGATGCAGTGGCAGAAGACTGGTGCTTGCTTCCTTAAATCGACATTCGGAGAAAAGAGGGCATAGCTAATGGGTGGGGATGAACACACAGCCCCTCTCCTTCCAGGTCCAGCAGGGAAGAAATTGAATAATTTTACCCACTTTGCTACACAGATGATTACAGGACCCGAAGCAATCACCAGGCTGGCTAAGGTACTTCATTTGATTATATTCTGTGAAGACAAAAATAAATGAAAACAAAAAATTAGGAACATCCTTTCTGAATGTCTCCCTTCAGCCAAAAAGATGCTCTTTCTCATTGCCACTTACATACAGAAGGTTTGGAGCAGCCTAGCTTGTGGCATCGTCCCTCCCCCGTGACAACCAGCTCTCTCTCTCTCCACTCCCTCCCTCCCGCCTCCCTGCCCCTGACTCCCTCCCTTCCTGCTTCTGTCTCTCCTCTCCAGCTGCCTTAGTCTGTTGATGCTGCTGCTGATTAATCAGGGATTCTGAAACAAAGAACCTACCTTCTGAAATAAGCAGTAATCTTTCTTCTGTTTCTGCAATCCGTCTGCCTTGAACGGCAAAGCTGCCAGCATTCTAGCACCTTGGACAGTTCCTGCTCACTAGGCCCATTGGAAAAGGGAGGAGGAAAAGCAACTGAAGAAATGACAAGAAACCCGAAAACAGCACCGTTCTACTTCGGATTTCAGCTCCCTGGGGGCTCCCATCCTCATTAAAGGCCTCACATGTAGGCAACAGAACCTCTCTCCTTCATCTAACTGAGCTGAAGTCTGATTAGTAAATAATAAAATGAAGAGAGGATAAAGAAACCCCTTCAGCTATATCCACTATAGCATTCATTTAGTCTTTATGGAGAAGAAAAACGTAAATCCATCAAAAATAAATGTTCTGACTACAGAGGATGTTTGAGTTATAAGCTTTTCACCCCTGGCGTGGCTAATGAAAATGAGCAACTACTTAAATGGAACATCCAGATCTCAGTTTGATACCCTTATTTGATATCAATTTTGCCTCCACCCTCCCTGCACAGCCGAGCCACACACACAATTACTGCTGACGTACTTCAGGCTGCTGCTTGGGGAAAGAGGGGAGGAGCCTTTTAACCTCATCAAAACAGCTTTATGCCACCTGCTCCCATGGCATGAGAACAAAACTAGCTCACTTAGAAAGAACATGTACAGTGCACATGTATGTGGAACAAAGGTCTCACTCAGAGTGTGCATTTTTTTTAACTAAAATAGGATGTAAAATAATTATAGCATGTGTGTCATTAAGTCCTATAGACTCACTGCTGAAATCATTTAAATTCATTCTATTTCCTACATTTCCCAAGGACTCTCCTTATTCTGTTCTTTATACCCTACTGAATATATATACATATAGTGTGTTATATATCACAACTTATATATATACTTATGTGTGTGTGTGTTCATATATACACAAAAATATATGTGTGAGTGTATGTGTGTGTGCATACATATCTATTATCAAGTCCTAAGTTTTTATCTAATGTGCTTTTTCTCAGAGTAAAAAGTTCAATACAAATGTTTTAAAGTGTTAAGTTTGTAGTATGGTAAAAGTAACAAGCAATAAACTTCTGCTTAACTTGACCTAATGTATCATTTCCAAGAGAGAAAAATGTGCTTATTATTTGATAGTGACTTGTAGATTCTTTCTTGTCATATTCTTTTCCAATAACGTTTATTCTAAATGACCTTCGCTTGCAAGCTGATTTTCCCAAGGGTTATACTAAACATCTAAATTCATAACTAATTTCTAAGGAAAGTGTGTTTCTGAATGTAAAGTAATTTTCCATGCATCAACGGACCACAAAAAATAATAAACTTAAGTTCACCTTCCTAATTCTTAAATGTCATCTGGGACTGTGCTATTATTTTGTAAATTTTGTTTCTTTAACTTGAAAGTATCTGGGGGGAAATAAAATCATCACATTAAATTACTCTCAGGCTTTCTGATTTCACATGTTCTAAAGTGCATCACTAAAGCTCATCACTTATTTTTCTGGTCTTTCTGCCACTACCTTTTGGTCAGAATGGGACATCTGTATAACATTATGAAGCACTTTGGAAGATTAGATAGATGAAAACAAGGAAGAGGAATATAATTGAGAAAGAGAAGAGGCCGTATCCCAACTCTCTCTCTCTCTGTCCTATAAAAGTTCAAAAATTTAGCACATTGCAGAAAAGTACTTCAAGTACCACACTATGATCAAGAAGTTTACTAAGGTATCATTATTTTCGGTAGTGAAGTATTCTCACCAAAGTTGTCTTTCAACACATGACCAAAGGTAAAAAAGACTCTTTATAGAGAAACTATGTGACAGACATTCTAGGAAGTGAGCATACTTTATCATGACTGGTAATTTTAGCAGGTTTGGGTGGCTATATTTTGAACTATAGAGAGCTGAAACAAACTCTAGTGAAAAGCCTGTTTCTACATATGAGAAAAATAATACCCAGAGAGGTAAAGTGACTTACTCCCAGCCTCACACTCACTGGCTCATTAGGGTTAGGACCCCAGGTCACTGTGCTGGCTGCAGGTCTCACCATCTTTGGACAAAACAGTGGTTCTCAGTCACCTGGATTTTATGCACCAAAATATTCAAACAAAATGAAGAGACGCTGACATTTTGTTACCAAGTATAAAAAGAACCTGCTGCTTTTTTACCTCAAAATTTCAAAGTAAAAGGAATTTTTATCCAAAAGAATAGAGAGAACATATTTATAATAATGATTGGCCTTGTTAAATTTAATATTTTTAACATTAGGGGAAAATAATATTGCCCTCCATTCCTCCTTCCCTCCCTCCCTTTCTCCCCTCCTCCCTTTCTATCTCCCTTCCTTCTTTTATTACCCCCCCCCCTCAAATCACAGAATAAGGTTTGGGAACCATCCCGTTACACCAACCCCATCTTCTCAATTCCACACTCTCCTCATTCAAGGCCTCAGTGTCTTCTCCAGAGACATATTAGTGTATAGGAATTTATGGCACCTTTGGGGATTGAAGCCTGGAAGGACCCCTGAACTACTGTTTTATGTCTCACTGAATGAAACAGGAAAAGATCTATACTTTCTAAAGTAATTTTAGAGGCATATGCAGAAATCACTTCTATTCATTTCAGTAGCATCCAGAGAAAAATGCAGTGGACAATACTAAAGTTGAAAGTGTTTATATTAAAAATAAGGTGCAGGGAGATCAAAAAAAAAAAAAAGCTCAAATTGTAGTTATGTGTTGGTGTACTTCTTGAGTATCTTTATAAAATAAATAGATGTTTCTGGTGTCAGTAGGACACCAGTCATCAAGATACCTCGTGACTTGATGTTTCTTTTGAAGTTCTTATGTCGGGGTGCGGTTTGGCTCTCTCTGTTATAGTACACTGACTAATGGAGTTGATGCTTTAGGGTTAAATAGGTCCTTTCAGTGAACTTGGATAACAAGGAGGGTCAGAGCCCTGAAAAGGCTTCCTATTCTATGAATCAGCCAGGTGGTGGAGACTGCTTTTTGTATAAAATTGATGCAAATGAGAAAAGTGAGAATTGAAATAGAGAATTCTAGTTACCTAAAATTTAAAGAGTTTATTCAAATACATCAAAATGTATTCTCTGAAGTCATGTCATGTCGTAATTTATTAAAAAAGCCATTCCATTTTTTTCCGTAAAATATAATCTTTCTATTATTCTTTCCACGTTTAGCTTAGGCAGGCGACCCCTGTGTTACAGTGTAATTATTCCACTAGGAAAAAAGCTAATCTCCTTCCCATCCAATCAGGATTTCTAACCATTCTGGTAACAGTATGAAATGAAAATCTTGGTAGAATGAGAACCATATGTTCCTCATGATTTTTGCCTGTAACAACATAGATGTCAACAGAAGTCACACATATGATTTAGGGGTCGTGGATGCAGATGGTGATATGGGTACTCCATGATCCAGAATACTCAGTAACTAAACATAAAAAATGAAAATTATTTATGGTTTAATAATATACACAAAAGCTACAGTTATAGTGTCAAGGCAGTAAATTGGCAATAAGTGAAATAATTTCTATGGCAAGAAACAGAAATAGACCCAGACATCCCTCCTTTGTTTTGTTTGGCAGATATTTTTCAGTGAAGATTTCAGAAATAGCATAAATGCGTTTATCTCTGTTCTCAGAAATAATCAAAATATTGCTAAAACAGGATCTACACATCCTAGTGAATCAGACACCCCTACTCCAACCAACCATCTATCTTCTTTGAGTGGATAATATTTACTCAAGTTCCAAAAGTCATGTCTTACCCTGGTAGCTTGTCCTAATTAACCACAATCAGACTGGATGTTTGTTCTTTACCTTATAGATACCCAGTGAATGACTCCAGGTCTCAACTCATGACATGTCCTGCACTAGTAGGAAATTCAAAAGCACCCACATAATTGACATAAAAATACCTTTTTAAAAATAAAATCATAATTAAAATTTAAAAAATAAAAGTAACCGAACTAAAACCTAAAAACTTAAGGGGGAGAAATCTTTCCAAAGGGACTACACATTTTTTTATTCCTGGAAAATCCAAAATAACCAGTTTGAAACTTACTGAAAATAATGACATAGCTCCATAGGAAGACCAACTGATTATACAAAACAAGGATCACATTTAGGGTAAACAATAAAATTCTTCTGAGATACTGTCTTACCTCAGGCTTCTGTAACAAAATACCATAGATTGAGTGGCTTAAAGAATAGAAACTTATGTCTCTCAGTTCTGGAGGCTAGAACGTTTGAGACCAAGGTGTTGGTGGATTTGGTTCCTGGAGAAGGCTCTCTTCCTGGCTTGCAATTGTACCTTCTGGTTGTGTCTTCACATGACACACACACAGAGAGAGAGAGACAGCCAGACAGCCAGCCAGACAGACAGAGACAGACAGACAGACAGACAGAGACAGAGAGAGAGCGAGATGATCTCCTTCTTCTTATAAGGACACTAATCCCATGATGGGGTCCCCACTCTCTTGACCTCATCTAAACCTAATTATCTCCATAAAGGCAACACCTCCAAATGCCATCACATTGGGAATTAGGAAAAATTATGGGGAAACAAACATTCAGCCCACAACAGAGACACATAAAAGAAGATATGGGGAAATAGAATATTTCTGCTCTTTCTGGAATAGAATCAATTTTGTGAATAATCACTTATTGCTAAATTCACTAGAGGAAGTGTAATTCCAAGTTAAATCAAATTGATGTTTTGTAGAACTGAAAAAGTTATTGGCAGATACGTTCTTGACAAAATATTAAAACATTGTGCAAAGCTACATTGATTTTATTGTAGTATAGCACAGGTCTTGACTGTGAATCAATAGAAGAAGTTTAAAAGTCCAGAAAAAGCATACATAGGTATTTAGCATGTGATAAATATGCCATTGAATACCAATAAGTAATAAAATTAAATAAACAGAGAAATGCATATATGCACATATAAAAATTTTTTACAGTTCCTTGCATAAAAATAAATCTAGACATTTACGTTTCAAAATATGGCCCAAGAATCTACAGTATCAGCATTATCTGGGGGCTTGTTAGATATGCAGAAGTTCAGTTCCTCCTCAGACTGTCTGTCAGAGTCAGTTGGGGCTGCTACAAGATACCCCAGAGAATGAATGGCTTATTTTAAACAACAGAAATTTATTCCTTTCAGTTCTGGAGGCTGGAGGTCTGAGATCAGGGTACCAACATGATTAGGTTCTGGGGAAGTCCCTCTTCCTGGTTTCCTCACATTGCAGAGAAAGAGAGGAAGCAAGCTCTCTTGTAT